TATGCGAAGGAGATGTGTTGCACTGCGTGAGGCAAATGGTGGTCACACCAGATACTGACTGGTTTTCGGACCCCCCCAATAAAGCAAAACTGAGTGGCCTTTTATTGTGGCCAGCCTAAGGCACACCTGTGCAATAATCATGCTGTCTAATCAGCATCTTGATATGCCACACCTGTGAGGTGGGATGGATTATCTCGGCAAAGGAGAAGTGCTCACTATCACAGATTTTTTCAGATTTGTGAACAATATTTGAGAGAAATGGTTATTTTGTGTATATAGACATTTTGTTAGTTCTTTGAGTTCATCTCATGAAAAATGGGAGCAAAAACACAAGTGTTGCATTTATATTTTTGTTCAGTGTAAGAGCATAATTTATTATTTACAAACCCTAAAAAAAAAGTGTTTAACTGCAAACTTACTGTAAAGTCAGCTCCATTTTCACACAGAGCTGTCTTAAATTCCTCAAAGGTTGTGTGTTTTTCGGCGAGGTTGATGATAAATTCAGCTGTAAAACATAAACTGTTGTTTAGCTTTGATGCTAACTTGGGCAGTAGCAACTGATTCTTATTCGCTATGTCAACTTATGAGCTAGCTCTGTAACAAGAAAACAATACTGTTGTGTAGCTTTACGTTACCCAGGTCTTTCTCGCATATTCCCAGATGATTCTCCAACTCCGTGCACACTTTTGACACCAAAGATAAATACTCAAGACGTTTTATTTCGTCTAAAGCAGCCATGTTTCATGTTTATTTAGACCTGAGCAGGAAGTGGATCTTCTTCTTTAGTTTGAGCTCAAAAGACAGTTGCTGCTACATAGCGGCGGAGGCCGGTAACAGCACGTGCAGTTAACATTGTTGATGTTTATTTGCACAAGTGTTTCAGTTGTTATACGTCCTCTCTACAAAATGTATTTCATTAGTTACTAGTGACCTTGCAGATTCAGATTTTTTAAATATAAATATAAACCAACGATTATATATTGAGATGTATTATGCAGTGGCTCAGTCAGTAGGGGCTTGGATTGTGAGCCGTAGGGTCCCCGACCAGACCTAAATATGGAGTGTGGACTGCTACTTGGAGAGAGGTCCCAGTCCACCTCCTGTGCCCTGCCGTGGTGCCCTTGAGCAAGGCACCGGACTTTTGGGGGCCCTAAGCGAGCTTTGGCTTGGGGGCCCCCCTCACTGTAGTGCGTTCTCACCACACACAACACGGAACCAACTTTTGTCTTATGATCAGTGGCGTTTTTATATGTACAAAAGTGGTGGGGCACAAAAAACTTAGATGTCTATATATAAGCTTCTGAGGTTCATGGCTGGTGAGGCTCTGACTCTTCAGGTTTACAAATATTATATTTTGACCTAAATCAAAATATAATATTATTTTCAAAAGCTTTTTTTGTCTGATGCTTCAATTAATTTTAAACAGACAGTTCAACAAAAGGATACCCAAACAATGTAATTGTATCATTTAAATATTGAATTGTTCTCTCTTAGTAAGATCCCATTTTCAATCAAATTGCAGTCTTACCTTGACATGAAGATGAAGTCCATTTGCCTATCCTTCTGGACAAAAATCTCTATTACTTTTTGTAAAAGTCCTCCTTATGTTCTTGTAGTTTCAAAAGTCTATCATAAATCTGATCTAATCAATAGATTTATGATTCGAAAATTATAAAAGTAGGGTAGACATGTGGATATTATCCGGCTGAACAAAACGTGCATTTATCTAACAGGTTTGTTTCCCACAGATCTTATTTTGAGCTATTTTCTAAAAATCCAATGGAGAAATATCATTGCTTTTTTGTGGAGGGAAGCCATGCGCAGTTTATTTCCGGGTTTTAGGACGCCTCACTGCAGCTCTCTCTCCTCCTCTTCACACACCACACTTTTCGCGGCACACGTACTTACAGCCAATCAGCTCTGAATTATGTGAGATGACGTATGGTGGGGATGGCAGCACTATGCCCTATGGTCATTATTTTTTTGCCACACACATTAAATAGGACAATACTCTGAGCATGCGCAGTGTAGTTTTTACAGTCACCATTGACTTAAACAGGGAGAGGGAGGGGCAGGATCGGGTTTTGTCCCACATGGCTCAAAACAGCTCAATAGGCACACACTGTAGACACTAATTAGAAGAACACAGACTAAAACAGCAATGTACAGACGAATCAGATGATTAAACATGATCTTAAAATATATTTTATATATTTTTTAATTTATTTTTTGCATTTTTTTGTAATCATTACTTTTAATACTTTCTGCTGACACTAGGTGGGGCTGTGCCCCACCTGCCCCTAATGACCAGTCGCCACTGCTTATGATATTAGCATAAGCACACATATTGTATAAATAAGCATGTAAACACTGTGGACCTAACCTCCTCTAGGGGGGTTCTCACCTCCTCTAGGGGGGTCCGGGGGCATGCTCCCCCGGGAAGATTTTTTTAAAAATATTGATGTTAAAAGCATCAATCTGGTGCACCACTTTGAGAGCAAAATTAAGAGATCTATGGATACATCTCTCGACACCCATATGAAACAGAACTGTAAACAGATTTTTCTTTATGGATATTTTACAAATCACTTAAACTGTGTTCTTGTTTTGTCATATAGTATTTCATAACTTAGATTGTATGACAAAGTGTTTATTTAATATATCTGGCTAGCTATAGCTACTTGCTAACGGTTTAGCTTACCCCGCGATTCAAAGTAACGTCAACGTAGCTGTAATGTATGCTTTGCTTAGATGTTCGCATAACTTGGAAGTTTACTGACATTTACATACCTTGTTTACCTGGCTCAAGTGGTGGCTCTGGGGTTGTTGTGTGAGCCACCACTTGAGAATAGTCGTATTTTTTAAGAAAATGTTTTCTTATGTCCCACTGACAGTTTATTTTAAACATTGTCACAGCTCACATGAGGTACCTGTCAGCCAATAAGACAGATGTGTATTTCCATTCAACTCTCTGGTTGGTCTGGTGTCTTGCCTCTGTTGCATTCACTGAACACGGGAAATTACAATCCTGCCGTCCTCTCTTGTGTCATGATGAGGTTCAGGTAAAGCACGGTTAATGTATTATATTATTGACTCAATAATATAATACATGACTTTGAGAGTAGGCAATCTAGGCATATTAACACAATTAATTAAACATACTTATCACGGCGACGGTGTACTGAGATATTTTCTTTTTTTTAAATAAATACAATTCTTTTTTTTGCTAGGGGGGCCCCTTAGTGGCTGCGGGGCCCTAAGCGGACGCTTATGTCGCTTAATGGGTCGGGCCGGCTCTGTCTGCCAATACCGAATCCTGATCCGATTATTCTATTTCCCAGATATATTGGTAGATACCAGAATACATGACACAATGAATCTTTGTAATATATTTATGTTCTCTTGTTTAAATAATCATACCAGTATTTAATGTGTTCTGGTCACCTGGAATCCTGGTAAGCTCCCAGCAGGGTATATTTAATACTATTATTAAACATAAGCTGGTGATAGATGGATAAACTGGCCAGCTAAAGTGTCCAAAACCCCTCTCCAGCCAACCATTTCAGCCTAATATCTACTGGCTGGTCAATTTACAACAGCCTGACCAGCTACATTTATCTAAGCTGGTTTTTTCAGCAGTCATTATTATTTATTTACTATTTTTTGAGAATCTCTATGAATTATAGTCAAATGTATATACCAGTCTCTGTTCTGTTGCCTGAGCCAAGTTTGCCTGTTACATTACGATATATTATTATTGATTTACTATTTATTGAGAATCTCTATGAATTAAAGTCAAATGTATACCAGTCTGTGTTCTGTTGCCGCATCGGATCTCCGCCAAATCCAGGATCATCACCCCCCTAGTTCGCTCCCGTCTGTATCTCTACCGCTACTTGAATACTGTGGCTCAAACTGGTATGGTTCCACCACGTTAGACTCACCCGCATGATCTGATTCCACCACACCGGCATCCTCTTCAATAAAATCCTCCTCTTCTTGAAAGTGCACCGAGTCTATTGACGACTCACTGTCACTCGATTCTGTCTCCAGAGTCCGACATCAGCCATATAGGTAGTGTATTATTCAACAAGTGTTCTACTCGTGACGTGCGTGACGTCACTAACCGGCGAAAGCTGTTTTGTTCGGAGCGGTCGTGTAACATCGGAAGCGAGCATGGAAAGTTGTAATAAACCACGATTTATAAATACAGCGGGCATATTGTCATGAATGACATGATTTCCCATTAATAATAGTATATATATTATCATAATAAGAACAGTATTGTCCTTCATTTCGTAAGCTCTTTAATGTTATTTTGGACCATTATTCATATAGTAATCAGTAATCATATTACCTGAGCCCTTGAACTATAGAGCAAAAATAGTTACAGCATATATTTAGTGATTTTAATGTTAACAGATCATTGATGCAATAACATTTGGACCCTATTTGCCTGACTTGACGCATGGAATAAAAGATGGGCTTAGGAAGCATCCTCAATGTAGGTAAGACAATTTAACAGGGGGTGTGGGCAGGTGGTGGACCTCACCTCCTCTAGGGGGGTCCGGGGGCATGCTCCACCGGGAAGATTTATTTTTAAATGTTGAAGTTAAATGCATCAATCTGGTGCACTTTGAGAGCAAAATTAGGGACTAAATCTATGGATACATCTCTCAACACCCATATGAAACAGAACTGTAAACAGATTTACTTTTTCTTTCAACATTTATTTGAACAGCAAGTGGAGGCAAAAGTGACTGCACCCAAAACAATAAACCTGCTAGCTAACTAGCCTAAACTCAGTAACAGAATGTGGGCAACACGTTCTTCTCCACAGCTGCGCGACCTCTGAGTCAGACGTCACTTCCCCCTTTTCTATCCTACGGGTGCCACTCCCCCTGAACCCCGTTTCCCTGCCAGTTTTTTTCCTTAGAATACACCTTTAATTCTATAACAAAAAAAACAAAATAAAATCTCCAGAAAAAAATGAACAGATGAGTTATCCAACCACATTAATTTTAATAAAATATGAAATACATTGTTATTTACTTTTTACATTGGAAAGACGCCCTTCATATTGCCCTCCACCTCCTCTCCTCTTCCTCTCATTTTCTCCCTCTAAAAACTAAAATAATAATTTAAAACTTAAAAGTCGTACTAATGAACTCAATTCAACGAAACGTGGTGATAACATTAAATGATGTATACCTTTTTTTGTGAGAGGTCAAACTTAATTATTGCCTCCTCCCTTCCTCTCCTCATTTCCTCTCAGGTCTCTAAAAGATAAAAGGAAAACATGTTAAAATCTTCAAATAACACGTGAACAGAACTTGGTGAAATCTAGTATGAGTATTTGACCTTCTTTACATGAGAAGTCATGCCTAGTTTTGCCCCTCCACCTCCTCTCCTACCCTCTCCTCTCTAAAAATAAAAACAAGTGATGTTAGAATCTTCAAAAATAACGTGTGAACCTTTATATATACAGTCTATGGTGTGAACAGATGAACTGAACTTCCTGAAATCTAGAAACAAAAGATTGAATAACTTGGTTTTTACCTTTTTTGCATGTGAAGTTTCTACAAACGTAAATAACTTTGTGAAATCTAGAAATTATATTGGATATCTTGATTATTACCATGTTGTTTGTGACATGTCACTCTTAATTTTGCCTCCCTCCTCCTCTCCTCTTCGCTTCTTTCCTCCCCTCTGGAAAAACAACAACACATGCAAACACTGTTAAAAACAAGTAGTACGAATGAAAATGTTAAAATGATATTTACCTTTAATAATGAGAGGGTTCCCACATGCCCCTCTCTCATATTTCCTCTTCTCGTATTCCTCGTCTTCCCTTAGTGTTTCTTCTCTACTCTTCTCTGCTGTGATCCTTTTCATCTCTCCTCTGTGCTCTTTAAACCTCTATTTCTGATTGAATAACCCTTTTATCCCATTTTAACCCTTTCAATGTTTTTTTTTACCATTTTTAAACACCTTGTTGCTGATCTTACTATCACAGTTTGTACCACTACAGTTACTGTCCCCGCCTCCCTTCCCCAGTGTGGCCCCTGCCCTGAGGCCCTTGTCTCTGCAGACTCTTCTTGGCTGGGGTGGCCCTCGACAGACATATGGACCGATATGACATGGTGTCGCCATCCTTTTCCTTCTCTGCACAGGGGGGCTTCACTGAGGGGGTGAAACACGTTGGAGGTTCACACTGTCCCCCCCAGATCCCCCCCACTCTGTGCAGACACCCTGCCTGAGTAATGGACCGGCAACAAGGATTCTAACCAGAGCAGGGTCCTTACATCTGATACACTTTCATTTAATTCAGTTCAATCCAATACTTACCGTTCACATTTAAAAATAGTTCATGTCAAAGCAGTGCAATTTAAAAAAATATGAATTCATCAAATTTAAATATTTTTATGTTCAAATCATTTCGACTGAATTGAACTCAATTAAATGAGAAAATACTTACCCGTTCAAATCATTTAAACAAAAACGAATTGTTTTTTTAATTATTCAATTCAATTTGAACAGCTTACATTTCGATAAATGTAATTTAATTGAAATCTATTAAAAATAATTCCAATTAACTCAAATTCAAATCAATTCAATTTTAAGAAATACAATATAAACAAATGTTACTCTATTTAGCCGGGGGAAAAAAACATGTAGAAATTAAGTGGAAGGACAGAAGCGCTTAGGAGCACCGTTACCTGCTGACATACCTGCAGCCTCGGCTCCTCTCTTGCGCCACCTGCTGCCCACCTGGCTCCTCTTCTTCATCAGAAGTCGGGCGCTCTTCATCCACTGCTGCTCCGGGACCTTCCTCACCGGTAGAGGCTCACGGGGGGGCTCGGGTCGGGGGGAGGAGCCGGACCGCTGCGGCCACTGGAGGACGATCCTGGTGGGATGAGCACACGGCACAAGAGACCAGCCCTCCTCGGGAACAGGTGGGGAGGGTCTGCAGGAGAGGACAGGGGAGGAGGAGCAAGAAAAGCAAGAGCAAGAAGAAAAGTGAGAGGAAGAGGAAGAGCTAGAGAATGAGGTAGAGGAGGAGGAAGAGCTAGAGCGAGAGGAGGAGCGAGAGGAGGAGCGAGAGGAGGAGCGAGAGGAGGAGCGAGAGGAGGAGCGGGAGGAGGAGCGGGAGGAGGAGCGGGAGGAGGAGCGGGAGGAGGAGGAGGAGTGGGAGGAAGAGCTAAATGAGGAGGAGGAGCTAAAGGAGGAGCCAGGGTCAGACTTACCTTCATCCACAGCGCCTCTCCTGCTCCCCCTGCTGCCAGCCTGGTCCCTCCTCTTCATCAGAAGCCTCAGGTTCTTCTTCCACTTCGGCTCAGGGGCGGGGCCAGCTGGGGGGCCAAGGTGGGAGCCGGGGGAGGAGCTGCAGACCACCCTGAAGGGGGTGCGAGAAGAAGAAATGTTAGATCCAGAGGCAGCTGTACCTGGGGAGCCAGGTGAGGAGCCACTCTGGGAGGGGGGGGCTGGGGTCCTGCGCAGGATGAGGCGGAGCCGGCTGGGGTCTGGCAGGAGGACCGCTGTCCACTTGTAGTGCCGGTCCATCTGAAGGTAAAAATAAATACAACAATCAGACCACTGCTCCACGTCATGACGACACACCAGCGAGGGTTACACAATAATCACTCTCTCATCACATACTGAATTAAAAGGAGGACAATGCAATAATACATTGTTCAAACAAGCGCTGCAGAAAGTGAAACAGACATGAGAGCGTTTTACTGAAATATGAGCTAAAGAAAGGAAGCTTGCAAGAAACAGCCATGGCTGTAATGTGCAAACTTTTAAAAAACATGTCTTGCCTTTACTTTTCTCAAGGACAATAAATCCATATGTGTTTATAGTAATTGTGTAAAATGTGTGATGTTTAGCTTCTGGAAAGTGTTCGCCCTTCTTACCGTGGTTCTCAGTGGACTGAATGAAGCGGAGCCAGGTGAGGAGCCAGGTGCTGCTGGGATCCTGCGAAGGATGAGCTGCCCACTTGTTTGCTTGGACCAACTGAAGGTGATAAACACAACACATCAGGTTAATATACCATGGAGTGTTAACACCAGAATCACTTCCACATATTGAATTCAAAGGATCAATATTGCAATGCCAAAACGTAAAGAACATGCACGAAAACTAAACACGAGCAAGAGTAAAGAGTGTTTGCAGTATCAAATAGTAGCAAAGTCCCAAATGGATGCATTTGTTTCACACTTTCTTTGCATTGCCTTACAAATGTTAACATGTTGCTGGAACAAGGCATAAAGAAAGCAAACTGTGAAAAAGAAGCATGCTTCAGGCTGAAAAAAGGACTCAAGAATGCACCAACTTTTGTCTCAATACATCTGAATTTATGAGAACATATTTAGAACATGTTATTTCTAATCCTAGTTTGTGCACTGCTATGTCTCAATGCTTTTTTACAGTGAGGTTTACATTAAGCAGGCTTATATAACTTTCACAGAGGCAAAATTACGCCACAATTTCTTCAACAATATGTTCATTTAAGCTCTCCTACTAATTGACAATAGCATGTAAATACAAATCTATTTCTGTTGCAGCTATTTCACTTAATCTACTCTGTAATGATCAAGAAACGAGGACAATCGTGAATATCAGTCATATATATTCAATAAAAAGGATAAATAATGTTTTAACTTGTAAGCTTGTTTCAGTTATGGTTTGTAGCACTACAAAGAAAAAGGTAAAATCAACATACGTTAGCATGCTAACTTTTTCAACAGGTGAAACGGTTGGTCAGTATTTTGTCACAACAGGATTATTACACTCTAATTTGATTAATTAACAATACAAATAGAAGAAATGGTCAATATCTTCAGATATATCGGTGATTTTGTACGGGGTTTGGAGAGCGTCAGTGGTAAAATGCATTGAAAACAACATGGGTGAAAAAAGTGAATAAATGTCACATCTAACCCGAAAAACGTCCTGTACGTTTTGACAGTAGGGTTTAGGGAGAGGTCCGGAAGCAAAACGTATCAGGTTTAAGGGTTTGTTTTCAGAGAAATTGTCGAGTGAGAGCAGAAATGTTGAGTTTCTGACCGTCAGGAAGTTTGTGTTTGTTCAAACTAAGAGCATAACCTGGAGAGCCTGCATAGCAACCACGGAACCCTCAAGTCTCGCTCAGAGCTCTCGTGAGGCCAGGTCATATGGAGAGGCGAAGTCACGCCCATCTACTTCCGGACCATGGGACCCCGGAAGCGAAAAATTTACATTGAATTCAATGGAGAGAGAACACGTATCTTTTGATCCCGTTTGAATTGTGCCACGAACTACACATATGATGTTTGTCAATCTTAAACAATCATTTCCATGTCAAAAAAGTCACATTTTGTCGTAAAACTGCTGAAATATAAGACTATGAAAAATACGCTACTACAAAGACTACAAATCCCAAATCCCATTCTGGGTCGCGTAAGTGATGTCACAGGCATGCTCGGTGATTTATAATAAGACTCGTAATTAAAGCGAAGAAGAAGAAGATCTCATAACTGATTTATTCCCTCCAATAAATTATAGATCGCTAAAAATAAATTCACTTTTACAAGATGCCTGTGTGCTTTGTACCAGGTTGTAGTCATAAAAGTGATCATACCACTTGCTCCTTCTATCGATTCCCGTCTGATGAAAGGACCAGGAGTCGCTGGATCAGACATATCAGGTAATATCATAGGTAATATACATGTTGTGCATGGAACATAGTCAAGTTAGCTACCTAGCTAGTAGCGACGAGTAGCGAGCACGTTAGTTAGCATTACATTACTTAGCCTTGTCATTTTTAGTAGCCTTACCATGAAGTTATTATTTTATTACATGAAGTAAACCAAAATGTTAAACAGTAACCAAACATGATGGTAAGTATTTCGTGAAACTTTTGAAGAGTAGCCTACTGCGCCCTCCACCGGGTGCTAAGGAAGCAGTTCAGGGAGAGTCGAAGGCAGGCATGGAGCTTTGCATGACATTCTTCTGGACGTGTTTCATTGTGATGACAATCTGTTTGTTGGAAAGACAGTCGTTGTGTGCTTATTGAGAGAAAATTGTTAGAAGAGATAATTATTCAAAGTGTTGTTACTTTAAAGTGTTGTTACTGACCTTTTTCTCTTTTATTTTCTTTACCTCACCTGTAACTGCTGAGACGTTGAGGAACATGCACACTGACCTGCTCTGGCAACCTGATTTCCACTGTACGTAATAGTATTTGGTTATGGTATATTATTTATATACATCAAAGGCACAATGCACCCCCCAGAGACACACATGTATTGAGTGTGATATGTTGCATAGGTCATGCGAAATCATCTTTACATACTAGAAAACTGTAGGAGCGGCAACTTGTTTTGAAATTGAATTTTTAATATCCGATAATAAAGTTGATCTGTTTTCTTTATTCTTCTCTCTTCCCAGCTCCATCACCATTCTCTGTTCCTGCAGGTCCTGCTTGCTAATCAATGCTCATATTTTTTTACACAATTACAAATAAAGTCATTGCATTGTATGACATGAAGTTGTGCTTCATTCGGAGTCAATAATAAATTCATTCTGCCTTCAACTGCGCAATGATTGTGGACTGCACCGACATCCATGTAGCTGCCCCCCAGTAAGATGAACCAAGCAAAGAGGGTCCCCATCATGCCCAAGGACATCCAGCTGGCCCGCCGCATCCGCGGAGAGAGGGCTTAGACTGACCTGAGACCAGCACACCCAAACACAACAGCTCTTTTAAGAGCCACCTACATTTTCAAAGAGTTGCAATCCTACGTTATTATAATGATTAAACTGGTTCATGTATCACTTAGTTTACTGAACCGTGATGAATGAAAGAAATTAGTGAGGTAGTGGTTTACTGAAGTTACAAAGACATTAATATATGAGTAACAGGTCAGTGTAAACACAAGCTTCTGTCAATTATGGATCATTCAAACTATTTATATAAAAATATGTAATAAAGTTCTAAAACAAGTATTCGGTATATTCCTTGATAGCTTTTGGAGAAGGTTGTTTTTAAGTTTACTAAAATCTATCGTTTCAACTGTTTCACTTTATAAAAAGGGAACAGGTGAGTAGAGCATCATTGAGTTTCTTATTCTGTCAGTAAATTATCCAAATGAATGTTTTTCATTATTTTAGTCAACCCTAAACAAATTGATTGTACCTTTTAATGATGACCTTACATGGTCGGCAAAGTTAAATTAACTTCAGAAAATCAAATCTGTTCTGAGAAAAAACTAATAAATGTTTAAAGATAGGAACTTGCCATCCCACTGAAAAACAGTCCGTAGAGATTTAAAGGCGTAGTTGTAGTTCAGTCCAACGTTTCATTTGGATTCATTTGACAACAGTCAACTATTTTCATAAAGAATATATATATTTTTCAAAGTCAACTTTATTGTCAATCTTACTCAGTTTGAGAGATCAAAAAGACGTTTAAATAAAATTATACAATTTACAGATATGTATACAAATATATATATCCTATATACACCATCATGTATAATGATGGTGTATGATGTAGAAGGAAGTGTGGTAGATAACAAGTAAATATAGAGTTACATACAGATCCATGTTACAGCAAAAGATGGAATAACTAAGAAGCACGCAGTATAATAATAATTACATGCAACAATTAAATAACTGCTCAGCATCTCCACCACAATCCCAATCTGCTGTGTCCTGTTTTCCTCCCCTCTGCATAACACCCCATCACACATACGAAACACAACGCAGAGTCCGAGGGTGTTAAGAGTATGTTTATTGAAATGTCCTCCTCTCTACTGGCCAACACAGGGAGCATATGCTGGGTGTAGAATTGTTCCAGGAGGAGGAGATTTCCATGCCATGCAGGGTCTTTGGGGATGGGGATGATGATCGCCTCCTTCGTGGTCCACACAACAAAGTAGCAGAGACTCCGGTCTGTGATGTGCAGCTGCCCTTGGACCTGGTGCCAGTATGGGTGATTCTCCTTGAGAATATATGACCCACCCTCCTCACGGAGACAGAAGGATGGTAACTGGACTGCCTCCGTGATGGTCATGTTCCTCTGGCTGTGTGGACACTTCACCTCCAGCAGGGCAGATGGCTGCACAAGTCCATCGGGTGATGCTCCCAGAACACCCGACTCACTCACAAAGAGACCAGACTCGATTCGAACACTGTCACTTGATAGGCCTCCACAAAAGCCTTCACCCCTTCGGCCTCGTTTACAACCCCCCAGTTGACAGTTGGCGATGTCTCTGGCCAGTGGGTTGTATGTCTCCTCTCGCTGTTGGTAAAGTTGAGACACCGGCTGGACTACTTTGGAAGTGCCAGGCTTCCTCCACTGGCACTCAACATCTGTGGAGCTGATCTGCCACATGGCAAATATTGCCAATGCTGCAGCGTGGCTGCATTTGTACATCTCCTGTGCACAATCACAGACAGCGCTCTGCATCACGCCATCGTCTCCCATGCAGATCTGTAAAAATAAAGTAAGTACCATTTGTTAGCATGCTATAATAGATTGAATGAGCAATAATACAAGGATGGTCCGGATCTGGGGGTGGGAGGGTTTATTTTTCCATAGTGTTGTCCTCTTGTCTGTTGTTATTGTTTGTTTTTTCTGTATTTTTTGTAATTTGTGTTGTATTGGTTGTGATTGTACATTGTATTTTTCTAAATGTGTATGAATACATTTTTGAAAAACATTTGATCAACAATAAAAAAGGATTTGGTCAGGATCTAGACTCAGTGTGTAGTTTATTAATTAATCAATGCTCTCTACATTAGGAAAACACATACCGGTGTACCAGAGGGAGTCACACACAGCTGTGACTAGATAACCAAAATCCTTGAATCGACACACAGCAAATAAACTCAAATGACACAACGAGAAAAAGGAGATCACACATACAGTATAGTCGATATAAAACTGGCCGCTTCAATCTGAAGAGCAACTAAAACAAAACACGGGAGTGTACCTTGTTCTTGTGAACACTAATGTTATCCACAGCATACACAGAGACCACGAAGTTCTTAAGGAGAAAACTAGTTGCTAAAACAAAACACGTTAGTGTACCTTGTTAGCTAATGTTAGCTAGCTGACATTAACGTTACACATTGCACTCATATTACTCACCGAAACCTTGTAAAGCCGGTCCCGCATGCTGGCTCTTACAGAACCGACTAACTCCCCTTTCATATAGGTACAGCTCTCAACGTGCCCAGACTTGTAGTGATTTTCACCTCGTAAAATACTTTTATTCTCATTCTGAAAGAATGTGGTGAAATGTGCTAATGTGACGGCCATCTTTATGTTGGTGACGCGTATTGTGCGAGACGAGAGACCTGTAGTTCACTGAGCGGTTTCACACGAAAAAATGTGTAACTTCACAGTTTTACGACACATTTTTATTTTTTTGACTTGCAAAATGTTCTTTTAAATTGACAAACATCATATGTGTCATTCGTGGCACAATTCAAACGGGATCAAAAGATAACCTTTCTCTCTCCATTGACTTCAATGTATAATTTTCCGCTTCCGGGGTCCCATGGAGGCTTTCGGAAGGGGAGGGACTTCGCCTCTCTATTGTTGTTACATTTAATTTAATATAACTATAATATAAATATCTAGCGTATGAGCATCACATCAAAACACTCCTAGAACTAGACTCATTGTCTTCTGATATAAACGAAACTAAAGACGATGTGCACAAGCAAAGTTGAACAAATCTGAAAAATAATGCGACCATGAATAAATGAGCCACTTATTGCAAAACAACGTTCGTTTGAATGAATAAATATCACTAACCTTGATCCTTTAGTGTCCATGACGGCACCTGGGCCTCCTGTAATACAATTTCCTCTAATGATACAGTTTGAGAAACACACTAGACGATTTGGAGAGTAAGTGAAAAAAAATAACACATTCTTATCTATGTTGACTGGTCCGCATTTAGTCTTTCTTCATTTACATGTGAACATAGATTAGATCTACACGCAGGGGCGGACTGGGGGGGAAAAGTGGCCCGGGGATTTAATTGACAGACAGGCCCACTTACGGAGCGTCCACACAGCAGCGTGCGTCGTTGACGCTTGGCGGTGGGCGTGTCTGAAGCTTGGGGATTTTTTGCGAGCAA